AAAAAAAAAAAAAAAAATCCCCCTACTTGATTAGAGATGAAAAGCACCGCCTCTCCGCTGGTGCACTTTCGTCAGCGCTCCCTCACTTTCGGCGACGAGAAGTCCCTCCTGCATTTATCGCAGCAGTGTTTTGCCGACTGCGTGTGGATTCTCCTCACGGAGGACGACAGCTGCACCCCCGGCGTTGTGCTGCGGTCGGACCCGCACGAGTCCGGCCCCGTCAGCGGCGGGAACAGTCGGTGGGCCGGCGAGGCGTCGATGCCGGCGACGCCCTGCGAGTGTCTGTTGGGGCTGCGCGACCACCCGCTCACGAATGTGCTCGCCAGTGCCGTTGCGGGGGCCATTCAGCAGCAGGGGGAGCGGCGGCCTGTTCTCATGTGCATTAGTGTCGGCAAGACGGCGAGGCGACTGCAGACAGCCGCCGATCGCATGGCGTTTGTGCGGGCCGTAAAGGATGAGGTCTTGATGCTCGCGACTGGAGCGGCATGAGAAGAGATGAGGAAGAGAGAGAAGTGAAAGAAGTGAAAGGAAAATGATTATGATGAAAGGTCTAATTTGTTTTTCATGTATGTGAGAAATAGAGAGAAAGAAGAACTGGGAGGATATTGTCTAGTTTCCTTTTTTTCCTTTTTTTCCTTTTTTTTTCCTTGTTTTCTCATTTCTTTTCACACCACAAGCATTACAATCACGAATTAAACGAAAAAAAAAGGGGTACGAAAAAAAAAAAGAATAAAAAAAGAATAAAAGGAAAAAAAAAACGCACTTATATATATTATTATAATAATTATTATTACCTTAATACAAAGAAATGAGTGCATATAAGGAACTTGAGAAACTCTTTACGAAGGTGTATCACTTTCGACACATGACCTCCCTTGGATTTTGGGATACACAAGTGATGATGCCTCCAAAAGGTGCAGCTGCACGTGGAGCTGCAGTTGCGGAACTTGAATCACACATTCACACTTTACTAACAGATCCTAAAGTGGCAGTTCTATTAAAAGAAGCACTCAAGGAAGATGCGAAACAACAATTAAAGCCTCTCCAATCGGCAAATCTACGTGAGATGAAGATGGAGTGGGAACGGGAAACCCTCATTCCAGATGAACTGGTGCAGCGTAAGGCCATATTAACAAATAAGGCTCAGTCTATATGGAGACAAAGTCGTGAGGCAAATGATTACAATATGTGGATGCCGACATTTGCAGAAATTGTACAACTTGCAAAAGATATTGGTGCGGCACTTGCTCACAAGAGTGGTAAACATCCATATGAGGCTCTTTTAAATCTCTATGAACCTGGTATGTCATTGGATCGTCTGGATGCGATATTTAATGATGTTAAATCATGGTTACCAGATCTTATTGCGGAAGTGCAGGCAAAACGCGAAAATAACCCGGTAAAGACAATAGAACCGCAAGGACCATTTCCCATTCCCGCCCAACGTGAACTCAGTCGTTACTGTATGGAATTGTGGGAATTTGATTTTGAGGCCGGTCGACAGGATGTGAGTACACATCCTTTCTGTGGAAATGTAAGAGGTGATGTACGGGTTACCACCAAGTATGATGAGGCGCAGTTTGAACCGGGACTCATGGCACTTATTCACGAAACCGGACATGCAAAGTATGAACAGAACTGCGGACCACTATCCATGGCCACTCAACCAGTCGCAAAATACCGTTCACTCGGTATACATGAAGGACAATCCCTTTTTGCAGAACGCATGATTGGACGCTCCGCTGCATTTATGGAACACTTGATGCCAAAGATGAAGGAGTTATTTGGGGATCAGCCGGCCTTTACAGTGGAAAATATGCGGCGATATACACAAAGGGTAAAACCGGGATTAATTCGTATCTTTGCAGATGAATTGTGCTATACAATGCATGTTATCATTCGATATGAAATTGAACGTGGATTAATAGAAGGAACCATGACAGTGGAGGATGTTCCTGCTGTATGGAATGAAAAGATGCAGGCATACTTGGGTCTGGAGACACTTGGTAATGACAAGGATGGATGTTTACAAGATATTCATTGGTCTATTGGGTATTATGGGTATTTCCCTACATATGCATTGGGGGCTATGGTGGCCGCACAGTTGATGCATACAGTGCGTAAGGAACTTGGTAGTGATTATGTGAATGAGTGTATTAGTAGTGGTAATCTTCAACCTTTGCTGGTAAAGCAGTATGAGAAGATTTGGCAGCATGGAAGTACATACAAAACAGAAGAATTACTCACAAGGGCAACAGGAGAACCACTTAATCCAATTTACTACCGCAGACACCTTGAACGTCGTTATCGTGATAATGTTGTATGGTAATTCCCTATCTTACTTTGCTTTTTTTTATTTCTTTTTTGTTTTTTTTTTTTTTGTTTTTTTTTATGCAGTGTTTACACTTCTCTGTCATTAAAAAATATATCTTTTTCTGTATGTTGGTATTTACCATGAAAAGCATACTGTCTTAAGGGGAACGGTTTTGTTGTTGTTTTTTTTTTTTTCTGAGTTTCTTTTTTTACTGAAGAAACACGTGTTTTACGAATGTTCATCCATCTGTTGTATTTTTTTTTTTTTTCCTCTTTTAATCATTTTTCTACTTTTTGTTATGAAGAAATTCTCTCTATATCTTTTGCTGAAATTTTTTTTTTTTTTTGTTGTTGTTATGATGTTACGTCTACGAATAAATGTAGGCCTACTCTATCTCTGTTACTGTCTTTCTTTTTGATACTCATGTATTATTTATTATTCTTTTTTCCCCTTTTCTTTTTTGCTGTTTATATATATATATATATATATATATATATATGTATGTGTATAATTTACGTTACTTATATGCTCTTGTATAGTAAGTGATTAGTACCGTGCGGATTGTCTAGACAAACAGAGAGAGAGAGAGAGATAAGTTATTGTATAGGCATACGTATATTCAAATATATATATATTTATAGTACGATCCGTGAAGGTAGAGAGGGGCGTATCTGTTCATTCTAGTCTCCCCTCCACTGTACGGAAAACCATAAGCGTAAAATAGCTGACTCTTTACACACAAACAAACACAAACTAATATATATATATATATATATATATATATATATATAAAGGGAAAGAAACATGAGTACATTACGGGCGTTAGTGTTTGCAGCTGCCCTTCTTGTACTGTCGGTACTCTTTGCCATTCTTGCCTGTACTGTTGTAGTGGACCGCAATGCCCGGCCGCTGCTGCCGCTGATGTTTTCACTTCTCACACCACTCCCATTGGTGTTGTGCGGCCGCTCACACGGGAGTTTTGTTGAGGAGAGTCTTCTGGACGTTGTTGGGCTTTTCCTCGGCGGGGCTCTCGCGGTGGCGGGACCGGCTCTCAGCTGTGTATTGTACCACACCGGCAGTATTGTGTTTGGGGCGTTTATTTTGTCCATCGCCTCCGAGGCGTTTCTCGCAGCGACGGCATGTGTACTTGTGTTTGCCTCGCCCTCTGAATCCAGCGATGAATATGATCTTTAAGGGCAATAATATGTACACAGAGAATCAGAAATAGTGAGAGAGAGAAGAGAAGAGAAGAGAAGAGAGAGAGAGTTGTTTTTGTATGTGTGTGGGGGTCATTGATAGTGATAGTGATAGTGATAGTAGTAGTGGTGGTGTGCCGTTGGGTTGAGAGAGAGAAAGAAAGAGAGTGTGTGTGTGTGTGTGTTTGTGTGTACAGTTAAGAGAAGGCAAACAAGTAGTGGGAGGAAAGAGAGTGAGAGAGTGTGTGTTAAATAAAAAGTTAAGAAGAAGAAGAGAAAGAAATGGAAATATTGTGTATATGAGATACTTTATTGGTGGTACTGCTGTTTTTTGGAAGATGTGGAAATGAAATGAAATGAAATGAGATCTAAGCAGAAACCTAATAAACACGGGAAAAGGAAATAAGAAAGCTATTAGATAGAGAATACATACCTCCAGATGGTCACCAATTGAATGCCTTTTTTTTTTTTTAAATGTTTTTCTTATTATGATGGTTATTCTTCTTCTAAAGCTCTCTCTCTTTCTATCTCTCTTTCCTTGATCTTGCCGTGAGTTGTTATGACATCTCTCTTTTCATTTCTTTCTGTACGTCTTCTTTCTTTTTTTTTTCTTTCTTTCTTACTTTGTTTGTTTGTTTTTATTTGTGTATTTCTCTCTTGTTGATTCCTCCTTCTCTTTTTTTTTTTTCTTCGTACAATTGTGTTTGTTGCTGCGGTGTGAATTGACATGTTTGACTCACTGAGTTCCTTTCATTTCTCCCACTTTCTTCCCTCATTTGTGTTTCTCTCTTTTCTCCATCTAAATATATATATATATATTTAGATGGAGTTAAGTTGGAATAAATGCATGTGTTTGAATATCTATCTAATATGCTCTTTTTTTCCTTTCTTTCTTTCTGTGCATGGTGGCTCCCTCTGAAATAGTGGGGTGGGGATTATTATTATTATTATTATTACTATTATTATTATTATTATTATTATTTAGGGCTTATGGCACACCATCACGTAAGTGATATGACCCTCCAGGAGCTGGATCACTTCATCAAGGAAAATAAAGAGTCTATGCAGTTATCACCAGCCGATGTGATCGCATTGTATTTACGCCGACAACGTCGTGCGTACCTCGCCGGAAGAGAGAGACCTCCGTTGAAGTCTGCAGATAATAATAATAATAATAATAATAATAATAATAATAATAATAATAATAATAATAATAATAATAATAATAATAGTATTTTGGATAAATCTCGTAGATCCATCCGTCTACTTTTATTAGGTGAGGAGACAGAATCAAAGTTAGAGTTGGCTACACTTCTCTGTGGTGGTAAACACTCAAAAGATGATGCTGTATCCCGATTAGAACTGGGATCTGCAGATGATAAAACTCCAATCAATGAGGCTAACATACTCTCTCTGAAGAGTAATAATAGTAATAATAAACAAGATAATGAGAAGAAGTCTAATGACGATCTCTTTTTTTTTCCATCCTTAGACGTACTTGTACCTGGTGTAGCTGATGTAACGGCCTCTCTTCGTGGGGAATTATGTATTGCGAGTGATGTGATGATTCTCTGTTTTAACATTACAGACCGCCGTACATTTGAATCTCTTCGTAATCGCTGGTGGAAAGAAGAAGCCGTTCGGGCCTTTGATGTTCTTAAACAAGATCTTGCCGATACCCAACCAAGAGGTATTCTTTGGCCTATTACGCCTATTATAGTGATTGGACTCATGGCGGAAGTACGACAGACGGCAACACCTTCACAAGTATTAGTATCGCATAAAGAGGCTGTACAACTTGCACAGGAGATGGGAGCTAGTAAATATATGGAGATCTTCTCAGGGAATTTAAATCATACCCGTACATTAGCTACACAGTGTATGCAATTAATACACACACTAGATCATTCACTACCTATTAATGCGGCTCTTTTTCTAATGACGGCTAAATATCACATGTTGAGATCTTATTTACGTGTTCCTAAACCAGTGGCTGAACTTAACGTAACAGAGATGCAGTTAAATATACATGTAACACCCGGTGTTCGTTATTTAATGACTACAGATGGAACAGATCCACGTTGCCGCAGAATATCATCATCATCTTCATCTTCTTCTTCTCATATTGTAATTCCTAATAATGGTATTATTGATCTTCGCCAGTTACGTAAACGTCCAGGTACACTTATTCGTATTTGTGGTATGGCCCGTTGTGCCTATGCGAGTACATTACTGGAAGTGGAAGTCCCCGCGACTGTTGAACCTCCAGAGGGTTATTTTGATATTGTTAAGCGGCAGTTTGTGGTTGTGCCAAATGATATTCCTTTCACATTACGTGATATTCATTACACATTAGATGGTAGTGAACCAACACTAGAGTCTCCTCTTTATATACAACCGATTGAATTAGATCATGTAGGAGGACCATCTACATTTACATCATTAGAAGTTAATGATTCTTCTTCTTCTTATTCTTGTGGTAATGGTCGTGCTTGGCATCCATGGCGTAGTAGTATACCACCACCACGTGTTATTCGTATAGCCGCCTTTGCAGAAGATGAGTTTGCGTCTCCCATCATCACATATGAAGTACCAATCGTACTCAATACTCCTAAAGTGGTGTATTCTCCACATGATAGTACTATTCGTTTAGAGTGTACATATCCATTGGTGGAATATCACTATACACTCGACGGTACAACACCAACGTATATGTCTCCACTCTACACTGGACCGTTATGTATTGCCAAAGCAAACACTCGACAAGTCCGTGTGGTGGCCTTTCCAAAACTGCGGTTCCCTAGCAGAGAAGAAGTATTTTTTATCCCAACAACAACAACAACAATAATGACAACAACAACAACAACAGTGTTGGGTACTGCTGATACTGCTGGAGTATCTACAACACGGCATGAAGATCCATTAGGACGTTCATTTCACACCACACGATCCGCAATGATGCGGAGTCAACATACAGCACAGAAACTGCGTAGTCTCAGCTCCAGTGCACGCGGCAGAAAGACGACTCCCACTGCCATTCACCACTATAATTACAGTAGCCATAATAGTAGTGTCAATACCAGTATTAATGATAAGGAGAATGATCATCCTACTATAAATTCAAAATCGCCTAATTTATCAAAATATACAATAAGTCCACGACTACATACAGAGGCTCGTGCTGCCCGTTCTCGTTATCATCATGTTAGTAGTAGCAACGACTCAAGAGAAAATACAGAGAATGTGAAAAAGATTCCACATCGTCCACGAAGCCATAGTGGTGGTATTCGATCTATTACTACTACGCCAAGAGTAAAAAGAGAGATATCGTCACGTCGGTCAGGTGGAACTTCTGTAGAGGAAACGGATAATAATGGGGATGAGGATTTGTTTGGAGAGGACTCCTTACTATGTGTAATGTCTTCTGTAGAAAAAAAAAAGAAGAATGATCACAATAAGAACAACAAGGGTAACACCAGTAAGAAATTAAATGGAAAAGATGACAATAATACTGTAGAAATCACCAAGAGAACGATAAAAGGAAAAGATTCCAAAAGTAAACCTACCGATACCACAACATCATGTACGGCAGATGATAATAGTGTAATTTTTGATTTTCCCAAACCTATTAGTTTATCGTACATCACAGTGACTACACCGGGTGGTGGGGCTGGCCCCGTCTCTTATGAAGTGGAGGTCAAACACGCCCACGGCACTGACTTTATGACGGTGGGAAGTGGAGAACTGCGGGATATCGCGGGAGTGCAGACAATGAGTGTACTTGTGAGTGCTCGTCTATTCCCTGTAGACCGTGTGCGGTGTGTGTTTGCCGGTGCTGCTGGTGCTGCTGATGATAATGATATTCCAGGTTTTCGCGTGAAGGATTTAAAGGTACATGGTAAACCATTTACTGGATGATGATGTTATATATATATATATATTTTCACTTATTTTTTTTTATTTTTTTAGAAAATTCACGTGTATTATTATTATTTATTCTTATTTTTATTTTTTTCTATTGAATTGTATTTCAAGTTTATTATTATTATTATTATTATTATTATTATTATTATTATTATTATTATTATTATTATTATTATTGGTAATCAGTTAGAGTAATGTGTCAAGTCTATCGGGGGAGGATGGGATAAAATTGACTCACAACCAGAGTGTACAGTCACTAGAGAAGTGATATTCCATACCATTTTATTTATTGGCTTTTATTTCAGCAATAATGATAAGGACTCCATTCACCAGGTGATTTCTTTTATTATTATTATTTTCTTCTACTCCATTATTCTATGAAAAAGGGTCTCTGTGACTGTTGTGTTTATTGGTAAAAGCCACAGGACCAGAATTCCATGAATGAATACACATTAGCTCCAAACACCTCATGTTACCAAGACGTACTTGAGCGTCTCTCACACCGCCTCGCCCGTCTACTATCAGAAGTTGACATCTACCAACAACAACAACAACAACAACAACAACAACAAGAAGAGAGTGAGGCTGAGAAAGCAAAGAAGAAATGTGTGAATACAAATAGTGTACCAATGACGACATCATCTACGGTATCAACTCTCTCATGGCCCTCATTGCAAGTTCATCATCGTGTGAGTCGTCTGCAGGAATCTTTGGGTGAATGCAAAGAGTTATGGGAGACGATGCAACGTCTGGATGCGGCAATGCGGCAGTTAAAAACAGAGTCTCTTATTGATTTGCGTAATATATCAGGACCATGTACAGAAGGTCCTCTTCTCGATGTGGAGGAGGAGGAGGAGGATAAGGATAAGGATTCTGGTAATATGAATAGCGAAGAAGGGAGAAGAAAGAATTATCGTTATTATTATCATATGAAAGAAGGGATAGATATGTTGGGGAGAAATTGTTTATACAACAGCGGCAAATCGGATAAGGAGGAAACGACTCGTTTGTTGGTAAAACTTCAACGGCAAAAAATCCTTCACGGCGATGAAGTTCGTCAACTTTCTCAACGTGCTGTACAGATTCACGACACGTTGAATTCACATTTCAATAAAACTCCTAATTTGTGTGAAGAAGTCTTTAATGCAATTTCTGATAGTCAAAATAACGAAAATGAACATGATATGGCTAAACTACATGCCTTATGTAGACGCAATGAGGAGCGTGCCCGTAGTTTGCAGGAGCGATTAACACGAATATTGGAAAAGTATCACCGCGTTGTGGCACATACAAATATGGAGCTTTGCCGTTTAGATCTGGAACTCCAGGCAATAGAACGGCAATCACCACAGACAGAAGAAGAAAATATGCTTCAACTATTGCATTATCGTGGTGATAAATGTTGAGAGGCATATATTACACGGAATGAATTTAGCAGCCGTAAGAAATGACCACCACCATTAGACAGAGAGGAATAACAATGATGAGTGGAAGGTGGGTGGGTGGCAATTCTTCTGAGTGTATTGTTTCTTAACTGTCTCACTGTGTGTGATATTTTTTTTTTTATTATTTTTATTATTATTTTTATTAAGAGTGTTCTTATTTTTTTTTTTTAACAACATCTTTGTTTCTTCTCTTTTTTTTCTTCTTTTTTCGAGAAGGGTGAGTGGTTTATTTTCGCAGCATGCGACGGGCGTGTGTAGGCGTCCGTGTTACTCTAGCTGCGTGTGTCTCCCGCGCTCACTCCCATCTGCAGAATGGCGGTAGGAGCAGCAGCGGTGGTATTAGTATGAATAGCAGCAGCAGTAGTGGTGGTGGTACTAGAAGAAGAAGTAATGATCTCGTTTCTATTATAACATGTAGTGGGTCATCTTTCTTTTCTTCTTCTCTACTGATGACGCGTCGTGGTGTGGGTGTAGATCTTCTTTCACCACTTGCAAAACTTGGACAAAGTCGTGATTTAGCAGCGGATATAAAAGCTGGTCGACAGCGTAATAATAAGGAAATTATTGCTTCCTTTCAGACGATACAAACCTTTGATGAGATTCACTATCGTAAAACTGATCGCCCTTGGGAATTGGTACCTAAATATGCCAAAAAACGTGTCAGTGATCTTTGTGGTCTTTTAACCAGTGAAGATCGTATGGAGATTGAACAGGCGATTGACAGAATGCAATCTCTGTGTGATGTGGACATGTATGTTGTACTTGTCCCTACAGTTGGTTACACCACACCTGCCGCCTTTGCCAATTCTATTATGTTTAACTGGAGCATTGGCGAACCACGTGGTAATGGTCTTCTTCTTTTGATTGCCCAACATGAGGCCACTGTGCGGCTGTTGGCGAGTGAAGGCATGTCAGAGTTCTTCGGCCCGCACTTTGTGGAGCCCGCCGTGCGGGAAATTTTCCAGCCGCTTGTGCGGGACGGCCGGGCGAGTTATGCGACGGTGCAACTTGTCTACGCGGTGGCCCGACAAGCGCAAGAGATGCGGCCTTTTTGGCAAAGTAAAGGTCTTCGTCTTTCATGGCCTTCTTCTTATACTTCTTCTTCTTCCTCTTCCTTTTCTTCGTTGGTGTTGAGTCCGGTGTTTCTCCCACGGATTCTTGCACCGGAGACCCGCCATCGTGTTCGTCAGGCCCGTCGTGTGGTGTTGTACGGCTTCAGTGCCCTGCCGTTTCTCGTCGCGGGTGTTCTCTTCTTCGCGGCGGCGACTGCCGTTCTCGTCAGTCAACTCCTCGACACAGTTTGTCCAAAGTGTCATGCGGGAATGCACCGCGTGCGGGATGATGCCACACTGCGGGCCGTAATGCCGAAAGGACAATATCTAGAGTTGGTGAATGGCTGCGCACACTATAGAGTGTGGAAATGCCCACACTGTGAGGATAGCACACGCATCGTACTCACCTCCAGAGATCTACACCAGAGTACACGCTGTCTGCAGTGTATGGATTGTCACTACTACACCTGTTCACTCTCAAAGGAGGTGTTAAAGCTGCCAACAAAGGATGAGGATGGGTTGAAACAACTCACGTATACATGTGAAAATTGTCGTGTGGGACGGGAAGTCCTCCTTCCACTACTCCGCCCAATAGATCTGAAACCGGAAGAGAAGTGGTACGACTTCCTCGTAGAACGGTCACAAACACACAAGAATACAGATCTCAAATTGTAGTAACGGTGAAGGGAAAGAAAAAAAAAAAAAAAAACGCAAGCAGAAAGAGGAGAATAGATAGAATGAGAGGGAGAGGGAGAAGGCTTGCGAAGGATTTGTACGTGTGTGTAAGTGTGTGTGTGTGTGTGTGGAGGGTGAAGATGAGAAGGAAAGAAAGAAAGAAAGGTGATAAAGAGAGAGATAAAGAGAAAGAGTGGTGAGTAGACATCATGAAGGATTTTGCAGACTGGCTGGAATTGTTGATGGAATTCTTTGTTGTAATGTTGCGTTGCAAGTGAGAGAAGAGTGTGAACACAATGAAACATGCTCACAGATACACATACACATACACATGCTTACGCACAGAAAAAA